GGATGCTAGCTAGGAAAGGTTCAACTGGTGCTTTGGTTGAGGCAAGAATGCTAGCTAGGAAAGGTTCAACTGGTGCTTTGGTTGAGCCAACTGCTAAGTAAAATCAACAACTTACATTAATTTAGGTGCGACAGTGTAAGAGTGTAGAAATATGACTCTTTGTATTGATGTGTGAAAAATATAACAAAATATGTAAGGTGACCTTACATGGACTTATAAGTAAATTGAGCTATATTGTCTATTGATTTTATGATAGAACCTCAACAACTTCTTTAGAGATGAACTAAATAGGGTGTTCAAGGAAGGGAGCATTAAACATTTCCTCATGGGAACATTGCATGGCTCACAAAAGTTCCTAATGTTGGAAGACGAATTAAATTTTCTTGAAGAATACGAGTCATTAACATGACACGAGTATAAATAGATAAATTCAAACAAGACCCATAGACAACCCTAGCTAGAAAATGTAGGAGAAAGTCTTTAATGATGGAAAGGGATTCGGAGAGGATCCCTTTTCACCTAATCTATCAAGTTCGTGATTCGAGCTATTAAAATTTGATCTAAAGACTATAAATAGGGGGTCCTTTAAAAGTTATAATAATTGTAGCTGTTGGATCAAATTTAAACGGTTCGAATCCCAAACTTGATGAATTAGATGGAAAAAGATCTAGAGAGAATCTCTTTCCTTTTTCGAGTCTCTTCAATGCTTTGAGAAACTGACTTGATGAAGTTGATTTAGAAATCCCACCCTACACACACAGTCACACACTCTCTCCCCTGTTTTCAAAGTGAAAATGTCATTTCCATTAAAGTAAATGTTCTTAGTTTGCAAAAGCTTAATCATTAATAGTCTAGACTCTAGAGGGGATGGGGAAGTCGTATGATAGCCTCCGTGATAAAAACAATTTAGGATTTAAGTTTCTTTGATAAAGTTTGTTAAATTTAAGGTTTAAAATTGAAAATTTCGTCAATTTTTTATTATTGTTAGTATGAGGCTCATATGTGAGGTTAAAAAGATAAAATTAGCATCACATTTTCAATTAATAGAAAGTTATGTTTTAAACATACGTGTCGTTCACATACTAATAATTAACAGAAAATTAATAAAAATTTTAATTTTGAATCTAAAACTTAACAAACTTTATCACATAAGCTTATGCTCTAATTTTTTTATCACATGCTATTTTTCAACTACTCGAGAACTAATAATCCATTTACACTTTGCAAACAAAACCCCCACTTTCCATCTTTACATCTCTTCACACCACCACCGCCACCAGGGCACCAGCTGGTTCCATCCCCCACACATTTTCTTTTGTTTTTATCTCACCAGCAAAAGACCCCCTCTCACTTTATATACCCTCATCACATTTCGCTCTTCAATTGCTTCCGCAACCTTCCATTTTCTCTCTAAGTTCCTCTGCTGTGAGAGGTCAGTGCCACCATTTTTTTTCTTCAGGATTTTGCTTGTTCAATTCTACTTCTTTGAGCTTCTGAAAGTTTACTGCTTTACTTCATATTCTTTGATATTTAGTCTTATTTGATATGTTGTGATGTATTATTTTGAATTGGGCTGATCTAGATCTGATTTGTTGGTGTGCATTGTTTGAATGTGGACTCTTTCCTCTTGTTCTTCTAGAGATTTGTTGACTTGGGTTTTACTGAGAAACCTCTTGTGAGTGTGGAAAGGTGAATTTATTGCCTCACAGAAACAGAACTTTGATCTGGTTTTTCCCATTTTTTAATTTCTTTTCTGGGTTCTGAAACAGGGAATTGGGTCATTTTCTAAGTTAATTTCACCTGCATTTCCTGTTTCCTTCATTGCAGTTTCATTTACTCTTGCATCTGTTCTTTTAGACCATCTCCAACCCTTAGGGCTAAAAGCCAAATTTTTAGCTTAGAAAGTTTGGCTTTTAGCCCAAAAACATATTTTTTGGTCCAACCTTCTGCCCTAAAATTTTAGGCCGAAATTATTAAAGAATGAACTTAGGCTAATTTTTTTCTTAAATCAATTTTTTTAAAAAATAAAAAATTATGTAGATTATTGTAAATTAATTTTATGAACATTTTAATCTAAAAAAATTTAGGGGGGTGTATTCAATTGGGATTTTGAGGGATTTTAATTCTTTTAATGAATCTAGGGGTATCCAATCAGGAATTTAAGTGATTCTCTGAAATTCAATGTGTATTCAATCAGGATTTTAAGATAGTTTATGAAAATCCTTAGAAATTTGGGTGTATTCAATTAGGATTTTAAAGAAGTTTATCACATTACAAGTGTATTCAATTAGAATTTGATTTTAAAGAATTTGAGAAAGTTGAGGAATTAGAGGGAATTGGAGAGATTTCGTAGTGTATTTTGAGCATCCACAAATCTCACCTCTCCCCAAGAGATTTCGAGGGAATTGAATCAAAATTTTACATGGAATCTCTACAAATCAATTAAACTCCATAAAAATCCATGGATTTATAAATCCATTAAAATCTCTCAAATTCTCAATTCAATACACCCTCCTTAAATTCCGATAAACATTTGGCATTTAGCCCGTGAAGAAAGCTGGGGAGGTATTTGGCCCAGAAATAACATTTGACATTTAGCCTAAAATTTTAACGTGGGTTGGAGAGTGTTTGGAGGGGTAATTTGGGAGTAATTTGACTTTTAGCCCAGGTTTGGAAATATTCTTAATGCGGTCCCTTAGATCTTTAATTACCACTTTAATGGGTAATTATCCTGTTTTTACAACTTTTTTTTACTGTAAATCAAGATCTGGCAATGATTGTGTTTTTAGATTTTCTTACTTTTTCCAAGATTTAGCAGAATGGGTGTTGTAGAAAAATAGTTCTACTGCAAAGAAAAGGTGAAAAGGTTGGATCTTTTGGAGTAAATTGAAGAGTTTTACTGCTCACACTGTGATTAATTGGCATTTGTTTCATAAGAGTGGTTAATTAATTGGTATTTTACCACTTTGCATGTCTTGTTAAACTGAGATTTAATTCATATTTTGGAATTTATTCTTGCAGGAATTTGGAGAGTGTTACCATACCAAATAGTACTATCAAAATTTTTGGAGAAAATGGTACTTCCTGTGGTTTGCATGCTATTGCTTCTGAGTTCTTCAGCAGCATATGCTCAAAAAACCAAACCTCCCTCTCCCTCATTCAGCCCTACTCCAGCCCCCGCCCCAGCGCAAGATTTCGTGAACCTCACGGATTTACTCACTGTGGCCGGCCCATTCCACACCTTCCTTAACTACCTTCAATCCACTAAAGTGCTTGAGACCTTCCAAGACCAAGCCAACAAGACTGAGGAAGGCATAACTATCTTTGTCCCGAAAGACAGTGCCTTCACAGCTCTTAAGAAGCCCTCTTTGTCCAATCTGACCGCCAACCAGCTCAAGTCAGTCATCCTATTCCATGCCTTGCCGCATTACTACACTCTAGCCGACTTCAAAAACCTCAGTGAATCAGGCCCAATTCCTACATTTGCCGGCGGAAGTTACACTTTGAACTTCACTGATGCTTCAGGCTCTGTGCACCTTACCTCAGGATGGTCAGACACAAAAGTAAGCAGCAGCGTGCACTCAACCGATCCTGTTGCAGTTTACCAAGTTGACAAGGTTCTTCTACCTGAGGCAATCTTCGGTACTGACATTCCTCCAACCCCAGCTCCAGCACCAGCTCCAGTTCCTGACACTGCACCAGCTGCGGATGCTCCAACCGCTGACGGAGGCTCATCATCTCCAGGATCTGCACCGGGAAAATCTTCGTCTTACAGGATTATCAGCTGGGGCATTTGGGGTCACTTGGTTTTGGCAGTCTCTGGTGGTCTGGCCTTGATCTTGTGAGAGACACCTCCCCGTTGATCGATTTTTTTTTCAAGTCATATGTTAAGAGGGTCGATTCGCTTATTTTCGTTCGATTGCTTGATTTGAAACCATTTTTTGTGGACATATGTGGCACTGAATCTCTATGTGTATGAGAATTTGAGTTCTTTTATTTTACATGAGTAAATGGGATTTTGTTTGATCTGCTGTTTATGCAGTGAAAAATTGTTGTTCTATTAACTTAATTCTTCTGTTGCTTAGCTTACAAGATATACATAAATACATGTGAGATTTTTCATGTTATGGGGATCGCCTACTCGTTTTTGCTTCTTCTGAGCAGGCTGAGACAATCATCGAGACAAAAACATATGCATCTGAAAGTGGTAGAGGTTTTCACATTAAGGAAGATGTGTCATTAAGAAACATGTTTCATATAAAAAGATTAAGCAGTGCTCACTAAACTGATCTTTACTAGGAGAAAGACTTGGGTGTCACTGGAGATGTATCTTCATCTCACTATAGCACTTGTCGCGTGACTTGGAGAGATGGGAATGGGATACATCTCCATCGACAAGTCATGCGATGAAACTGCCCATACTTTTGCTTGTCACATCATCTGCTTTGTTTGTCAACTACTTTTTTACGAGATGATATTCTAAACACTCTTACTCTACTTTATAAAGACGAGGTTTCGAACTTGGATGCAATGCCCTTACCAACTGGCCTAACCTCTGGTTTGTCAACCATTTACATCAGCTAAACTGTTTACAAGTTACCATTTTACAATAACATTTTTCTATTTTTGCTTGGGAACTTGCACAATGTTCAAACTATAGAACAACGTCCAAACTTTTGTATACCTTTTCTTATTTGTTGTGAATTGTTAAATAATCAACAAGCAATCGATATGTTTTTGAAATAATTCTTCACACGCAATAAGCCTAACATACAACGACATGTTCGGTTGAACATTGAATCTAAAAACTAATTGACAATACAAAAAGTAACCAAACTCTTTCATCGAGCATTATAAAATTTCATAACTTTCCGACGTGCAACAGTGCTCAAACTTACGTGTTTACTTATGTGGAAACACAATAAATGATTTGAAATTTATAGAAGATGCCAAACCGACCACATTCCTTTTCCCTCAAAATATTATTAGACATTCACATTCCTTTTACAGAGACATAGCCGGCCTCTCCTCCTCTGCTTTTCCATTTTCCTAATCTATTTTCCCTTCCCCTGGCTCTTCGCGCGTCCTTCCGCGTACACGTTTTTCTCTCCTTCTCTCACTCTCGACTTCTTTCCTTTCATCAATCTACACACAAACATCTCTCTCTCTCTCTCTCTCTCTCTCTCTCCAACGTCCAAACTTCTGCAGAATCAATGAGAAAGTCCATCAATTTCGGTTTTGTTTCTGAATCTCCGTAAGGTACACTCCATTTCCCGACGTGGGTTTTGACTATTTTATATGTTTATGTCCGTTACTGTATGATTCGATTACTGGGTCAATCTTACAAACGCTTTTTTTGATCGACGTGCATGCTATTCTGCATCTATGATATGATTCCTCAATTGGGTTCTCTTCGTATATCGATCTAGTTTGTGTTTCTGTTGTTGCCAGATTAATAATTCCATGCTAACACGTCGAACATTGTGATCTTTATAGCTATTTGAAGATTGAAATATGTGGTTTTTGTTTCTGGGGAATTCAGTGTCTTAGTTTTTTGTACTGGGAATTCGGCACAAATAAAGGGGAAGATGTCTGCTTTTGAAGGAGTTATTGTTTCTGATACATGGCTGCAGAGCCAATTCACTCAAGTCGAGCTTCGCACCCTCAAATCGAAAGTAAGCTTTTTGTGATTGGTTATCAATTTTATGCATTTTGTATTCTGTCAAATTGTTAGGAGAAATTTTATGATCAAGTGGAAATTTTTTGGTGATATGTGAAATTGGTTGCATTGGTTTTAGTTTCTTTCGATAAGGAATCAGTCTGGTCGAGTCACATTGGGAGATTTGCCGCCTGTTTTTGCGAAATTGAAGGCTTTCAATGATATGTTCAATGAAGATGAGATTAAATCAATCTTATTGGAGTCGGGCAGTAACATTGGTGAAGAAATTGATTTTGAGTCCTATCTTCGGGTGAGTGTTCCATTTCTCCTGCATTTAGTGAATTATTCATAATCGTTTGATGGAGTATGCATTTGTAGTCTTGTTTCTTTTACATCATGTTCTGATACTTGTTAGACACAATGGAATCGGATTTGCTAAATGGCAGGCATATTTGAATTTGCAAGCGCGTGAAAATGCAAGATCTGGTGGTTCAAAACAATCTTCCTTTCTCAAGGCAACCACAACAACGGTTCACCATGCGATTAATACTTCTGAGAAGTCTTCTTATGTTGCTCACATTAACGGCTATCTAGCGGAAGATCCGTTCTTGAAGAAGTATCTTCCTTTAGATCCATCTACAAATGCTCTATTTGATCTTGCAAAAGACGGAGTACTACTCTGGTAGTGTTTCTTGACCCACTCAATTTTATACTCAGTAGAGTCAACTGACATTTTTCGAGTTTCTTAATTATTTTAGTTGTTTGATGTAGTAAGCTTATCAATATAGCTGTTCCTGGGACTATAGATGAGCGAGCTATCAACACTAAAGCAGTTCTTAATCCATGGGAGAGGAATGAGAACCATACCCTTTGTCTTAATTCTGCTAAGGCTATCGGCTGTACTGTAGTTAACATCGGCACACAGGATTTGGTTGAAGCAAGAGTAAGTTGAGCACTAGCAGCTACCTATTGGAATGTTTTTATTACTTTTCCTGCTTGTTCTGAGCTTCCAGTTTTCTCGTAACGTTTTCACCATATTCTTAATTTGCAGCCCCATCTTGTACTTGGCTTGATTTCACAAATAATCAAGGTATGCAGTATGAGACATTTTCGCTTTTTGCTTTTGTGTCTCTTAGATCATAGAAACCAGAGTGTTTCAAGATTTGGATTATCTAGACGTAAACTTTTAACTTGTTTTTCACGTGGTGGCAATATCAGATTCAACTGTTAGCTGATCTTAATCTGAAGAAAACTCCACAACTTGTGGAATTGGTGGATGACAGCAAGGTCAAATCTTTTATTTTTTTCCTTTTATCCATGTTTGGATAAGGGTAGACGATCTCCATTTACATTTCGCCATGTTTGTGGATGAGCGCATAAACTTACTTCAGGTATTGTGTTCATGGACAGGATGTGGAAGAGCTCTTGGGTCTACCACCCGAGAAAGTTCTACTAAAATGGATGAATTTTCATCTAAAGAAAGCTGGCTACGAAAAGCAAGTCACAAACTTCTCTTCTGATGTGAAGGTAAGAATGAGCTGACCAGTTTAGTAATGATAAGCATTTTAAGCATAAACCTAATAGTTACGGTGTTACAGTTGTACTTCCTGTTTCCTGTAAACTGACCACTAAATTATCAATTAAGAGGGAGGATATTTTATATGCATCATACATTATATCTTATTTGAGTTGCTGCTGTGCAGTTAGACTTTCTTGCCGACTTACAAATAAAAGCAATATTCTGCATAAAACTTGTATCCAACATGACATGTTTTAGTTTTGTTTTAAAGTATGTTGTTGAGTTTTTTTCCTGTTCTCGTGGTTATGTAATAAATGCGATGCATTTTCAGGATGGAGAGGCTTATGCTTACCTGCTTAATGCTCTTGCACCAGAGCACTCAGGCCCTGCTGCCTTGAATATGAAAGATCCTACAAAAAGAGCAAACCTGGTTCTTGAGCAAGCAGAGAAATTGGATTGCAAAAGATACCTTACTCCAAAGGACATTGTTGAGGGCTCACCAAATCTTAATCTTGCATTTGTTGCACAAATTTTCCAGCACAGGCAGGAAACAGTACTTCTCAAGTGCTTTAGTTTGAGCTTACAAATTTGGCTTCTCTATTGCAAATTAATTGTACTGAGTTAATCGTGTGTGGCTTTCTCTATTGCAGAAATGGGTTGTCTGCTGATTGTAAAAAAATGTCCTTTGCTGAGATGATGACAGATGATGCCGAAACTTCTCGAGAAGAGAGATGTTTCCGACTGTGGATTAACAGTCTTGGAACTGCTACCTATGTCAATAATCTTTTTGAAGATGTCAGAAATGGGTGAGATTTTCAATTCCTTCTCACGCTTACCCTTCGAAGCATGTACCTGTTGTGCCTGGTTGTCCCGTGGTTAATATATCTCACTTGTGCGTGCAGATGGGTTCTTTTAGAAGTGCTTGACAAAATTTCTTCAGGATCAGTCAACTGGAAGAAGGCATCAAAGCCTCCAATAAAAATGCCGTTTAGAAAAGTCGAGAATGCCAACCAAGTTATAGAGATTGGAAAGGAATTAAATTTCTCCCTTGTGAATGTAGCAGGGAATGATATTGTGCAAGGAAATAAGAAGCTCATACTGGGTAAGTTTGAAGAGTTTTTTCTTTCATGTTCTATCTTGGTATGACCGCAATATTCAATTTTTGCATCCAAGCAAAACTTCAAAGTGATGTTACTTTCTTAGAACTTTATATTTTCTGATCCACTTGGCAAAAACAAAAGACCGAAGTTTTGGTTTCTGATGATATGTTAGAGACTAGGTGAGTGTTTTTGTTTTTTGTGTTCTTTTGGGCTTGATTTTGTTTCTGGTTGTGCTAAAGACAAATCATGCCCGTGGCCCTTTTTCTCAATTCATATTTTTATGATGTAAGTGATAACTTTTAACTTTTCTACCTCGTCAGCATTTTTATGGCAGTTGATGAGGTTTAGTATGCTTCAACTCTTGAGAAATTTGAGATCCCACTCCCAAGATAAAGCGGGTAAAGAGATTACTGATGCTGACATTCTAAACTGGGCGAACAAAAAAGTTAAGAAGGCGGGTAGAACCTCACAAATAGAGAGTTTCAAGGTAATTAAGCCTTTCTCACTGATCACTTCAATCCCATGATTGGTGATTCAGTTTTTATTTATGGTTTTTTTTAATTGAACTTTCAAATTTTAGGATAAAAACCTTTCAAGTGGAGTTTTCTTCCTCGAGCTTCTTAGTTCTGTGGAGCCAAGGGTGGTCAACTGGAGCCTTGCCACCAAGGGGGAAACTGGTACTCTACTTTTTATTGTTCATGATCAATATTGTTTTCTTTTACAATACTATTTGTATACGTGCTACATTGTTCTTGCTACAACATTTTTGTATTGAACTGTTGGAGATGGACCTGTATATAGACTGATACTGTAGCATTGAACACATTTCTCATTTTCTCATGTTCTTGTTGTTTACCCCTCAAGTTTTTAAATTCATTATCTTCAATATTGCAGAGGAAGATAAGAAGTTGAATGCAACGTATATAATCAGTGTTGCCCGAAAGCTAGGTTGCTCCATTTTCTTGTTACCAGAGGACATTATGGTGGTATGGATATTACAGTATACTGAAATATTTATAACATACTCATCTGTGTCATCTTGACTCGAATATATGAAAACATCGAGTACTTTCCGTCCCGTCTGGCACCTGATTAGGTCATAATGATTTCTCATTTGTTTCTGATTAACCGATGTATGTGAAGTAGATATGACTATTCAGTTGAAAACTGGATTCAACCAAAAGCGCAGTTTACCGTCTTCGGTGGATACATTAGTTGGTATATGTAACACCCAAATTTTACTGTTAGTGTGCTTTTGTATGACAGGTAAACCAGAAGATGATGCTTACTTTGACAGCAAGCATCATGTACTGGAGTCTGCAGCAACCGGGAGGGGAAGCGGAATCAAACCTTACCACTCCTGACGGGTCCCCTACAGCTTCCGCTGATGGCGAGAAGGAAGCAACTTTGGCCAGTGCAGTCTCCAATCTGTCTATGGACGAAGCTGCTTCAAATCCAACCTACCAACAGACAGAACACGAGAATCCCTCGAAGGTCGAAAATGAGGAATCGTCTGTAGAAAATGAAAAAAAGGACACTTCTGGTGAAAAATGACAGGATATGCTTGATCACATTTCATTGTTTTTGGGTTTCTAGAGAGGAGGAATAAGAGGAAACTTGGTTGCAGTTATCAGAGGCTCTCTTGTTAATGGGATTGTAAACCACAGGAAAAGAAAAGGAAAGAGTTTTGTAAATTGATTTTTGTACCTAGGAATATTCTTTTTAATGGCTATTTCATTAATTTTACTGAATAATATGAGAATTCATTTTTTATTCACCTTTCTTATATTTTTTTAAATATAAGCGATATTCTTATTCTTAATTGCACTAAGGAGAGGATATGTGTTTGAACCCGAAAGACAGTAGGTTCAGAGGAAGGCACTAAGCACATTTCTTAAATTTTTTGAACTTATAGATTAGATCTTGGTATTCCTCTTTACTTGTAAGTAAAAAGTTTTAGGTTTGATTCTAGCCAGAGGTGAAGTTGAGCCACATTATTATGGCAAGTCTATTGTAAGACTTAGTCCACTCCCCTACCCCCTTAGTGTAGATACTATCATTTGTTCAAAAAAAAAAAACTTAGATCTTGGTATTAGAGTTTATTTCGTTTTTATTTCATTTATTTTTCGAGAACCTTGCGGATTTTGACTAAAATGATGAAAATGCAAACTCTAATTGTCAGATTGATCCCTTTTAGAGATTTGTTGATGTGTTATCAATATCTGATCGATAATATCATCAATATTTGATTGACATTGTCGTCATTTAATTTTAATCATTTTAACAATTAAGATTTGTAAATTCTTCTTCATTTAACTCAATTTCCCTTGAAAAAAAATCACTCAAATTATATTTGTACAAATAAAATAAATGTACGGAATTATAGGCTCCTAAGACCAAAAGTTACCAAAGAAACAAATGTATAAAAATGTTTTGTTCATAATATGTGGAATAGAAACAAAATTGGCTAGTCTACATTTTCATGTTCCTGTTCACTTGTCATGGAGGTAGTAGGATGTATTACAAATGACGTTTTACCGTAATAACAAAAAACAATCATATCTATGCACCTGGTGCAATTTCAATCCCTCTCCCTCTTAACAACTAAAAAAAACTGACACAAAAACAAAAACAAACAGTTCACCACAGTAAACATTTTAGCATGCAATCCCTGCGTGTTACGCTTTAATACATATTTGCTAAGATCTATCGCCCACGTGACCTCCATCACAAGATTATGATCACAGCACTGCTTAAGCATTTATATATTGCCACATTTCTTTGCAGATTACCATGTCTGCATTTCACAAAGAACCATTTTACAGTTTATTTTTCTGAGACGATTAGATTTGTAGAACAAATTGAAATTCATTGAGTGACAGTTATAGGCACAACAGCATCGAAGCAAAAATTACAGGGCATAAAAATGCGGCAATGCCCGAATTTGCAGCGTATCTAATCACATATACGGTAACAGTTGAAAATTTACATTTGATCACCTCCAACTACAACATGCTAATACACAACAGGTACTCTCTTTTACTTGGTTGTTTCTTTCATACAGAAACGCAGGAGAGAGACAACTTCAGGTTCTTTCCTCCCGAGGGGAACAATGCCCCCAATAGGGTGCCTGACATTTTTGCAGCTTGATCAGCTCGATGCTGCAAATGCTATTTCTCGTCCAGTTTTAGGGAATTTAGGCGTCTTATTCTCTGATCGAGCTCTTTCATCACCGCTGGTTCTTGCTTTTTCCTTTGCTTTGATATCGTGTTGGTTGTCATTGAACCTATCTTATCAAATGCCACCTGCAATAGTGTGGACACCATATGATACAAGGTTCACACGAAGAATATATAAATTTCTTCAGGGGAAATAAGCAGTTGTAGAGATATGCGTTACCGTCAATAGTTCATCAGGATCAAATAGGTGATGGGTGGTTCTCTGTAGAATACTGATTACATCTCCAACATGATGGGTTATAAGCAGCTGATCTTCCTTCATCTGCAATTGAAAATCACAAAATCAGACTAACTTCTCCTGTAATCATGTCTAATATTTCAGCTGAACTTAGATGATCGACAGTCAAGAGGTAGTAAATCGGCATAACAAATACGAGCAACAAAAAAGGCCAAAGTTTGAAGTTCTTGTACCTTAAAGATTGCTAAAGCAACGTGAAATAGAACTTTAGCCCCCTCGTAGAAAAGGACATCCCATACCCTTAGAGTAGTCTTGAAAGAGAAAAAGAGCAAGCCCCATGAAAGTGTTAGTCACGGAAATTAACAGCATGTTTCTAACAGAGAGAGAGAGAGAGAGAGAGAGAGAGAGAGAGAGAGAGAGAGAGATTTGGTTTGGTTTAACCTCAGAAGGCAAGCTCTTAGAAAAGAGGCATAGAAACCACTCGGTGGCCACAAGGGAGACATCAAACTCCATTGCTTCCAAATGTGCTGCTATCCTGCATTTTGCTTCCGATTTTTAAAAAGGGAACTTTAATGAAAAGCACCAGGTACTGTTCATTTTAACGAAAAACCACATTTTTACACTAAAAAGTCAATCCTGGTACTATTCACTTTACCATTTATTTTGTCCTTATCATTAAAACTCAAAGTTTTCAAACCCTTTTCATTAGTTTTCCTTTTTAAAAATACACAAGGGGAAAGTAAAACATAAGACAGGCAAGTCACCGAAAGCAAGATACCTCGGGCACTTTTTATCCAAGAACTCCTTGACAACTCTTTGTTCAACATGGCATCCTGATAAATTATTTGTATAGCAGTCATTAACTAACACATTTTCCAAGAGGACTGCAAGCATCCAAAATGCATCTTCCTCTGTTTTCATCACAAGCAGTAACAATGCTGCAACATAATTTAAGCCCTGCAGCAAGAAGGTCGAACCGTTCCAGGTAAGTAAACATCAGCAGCCAAAAGTAAATATAATTCATATGAAAATACAGAAAGAGGAAAGACCAACTTTGTTGTTTCAAATCAGTTATCTTGGAAAAATACATGAAATAAGATATTATCTCGAGAAATAAAGACAAGTGGGGACGAACACACAAGCAGATTGTGATTGATAAAATTTTCCCGTCAACCCTATTGAAATTTACAGGAGAAATAACTCATACTTCAGTGGGGCATACAACATGAGTTGGTGAACTAAGGTATTGGGATGGCTGAAAAAACAACAGAAAGGTACTGTAGTAACAAGTATTTGAGAAACCATTCAAATAGATTCAATTTTTGTTATTTTCTTTGTTTAGGACATTCTCATTAGAGAAGTGTGGCTACAAGATATATTCAATGGGAGCAATTTAAAATATGCTAGCTAACAAATGAAGCTGAAAAGGAAAGTAAAACACAAAAAGGGTGCCATAAAGAGTAAGAAAATCAAAGCGTTGAACTTAATCTGAACAAAAACAATAATATGGTTAACAAAAGTCGAGTCTTGAACATGCTGCAATTGGAACATCAGTCTGTAACATATAAATGTTTGGCACTTTCATGCCCGTGATAAATCAGTTAATCGCACAACTTTAAAACATGTGTATTTCGAGAGGCTCAAGAGAACCACCTGACAGTATCCAACATCAGAATCACGGAAGGAATACCCAACAAGGACACGTCGGAGAGCAGCATGACCCTCTGGGGTGTCCAACCATGGATGACCAGGGAAGGTCCGGGGGAGGTCCTGCAAATACAGTCAAGGAATGAATTGCAGAAAGTGGAAGAAATTCAACGACAATGCAGCTACAACCTATAAGCTATAATTTTAAATAAATTCTAAGCATTAGAGTAAAAATTAAAAGGAGAATTCCCCAATGGATTGGTACAAAATAAGCAGACAGAAAAATGCTGCAAACATGAACATTTCCAAAGATCATCCACAAAGTTACCTAGAGCTAATATTTTCGTAAATTCACTGACGTGGGAATAGCTAGATTGGCTAGAGCGGATGTGCTCCCCCTATGCACCTAAAGTCGAATCCCCCTAGAGTGGATGCGCTCCCCCTATACACCCGAATTCGAATCCCCCTCCCAGCAATTTAGATTACAAAATATCACTAGTATCAAAAATATTTTCCTAAATTCATCCTGAAAATTACTTCCATCTCTCAAAAGGGAAGCTGAAACCAAGAAAATCAAACCAATAAAATATCAAATTCAAACATTTTGCCACAAACTTATGATTGCAAAATCCAAATGAGTGGGCAAATTAAGAAACTCACATGATCAATCTGCCTGGTGGCAGGGGTGACCTTGCCCTCAGTGGCCTTGATCAAGTCATCGTAATAGCTCTCCGGCACGGTGGACTTCTTCTTGGCGGCCCCGGACAGCGAAAACCACACCTTGGGGCGGAGCACCGGTGGAATCCCCTTCCTAATCAGCCGCTTCAAAGTGATCGAATTTCCCAAAGCTGAAAACTTTAAGGAGGATTTCAAATTCCCTTCAGAAATAGAAGTCTGCAAGTACCAATTTGCACCTTTGTTTGCCTCCAATGACCACCATTCCCTCCCCTGCTGCCTCACCTTCTCTCTCACCTCATTCAACACATTCACATCATCCACATTCCCTTCCACTGTAAACCCATAAAGGTCCTGGAATTTTACAGTCAGATTTGCCCTCCTGGCATGGATGCTGGGCCTCAAGATTGGTATCTGGGATTGGAATTCCAGGGGCAGGTCTCTCTTGCTCTGAGTCCCAAACATCTCTTTGGAAATGGGATTCCAGAGGGGTGGATCAAGATGAGGAGACAGAAAGAGGAGATAGAGAGAGAGGATATGTCAACCAAGAAAAAACCCAGCAGCTACAAATGCATGGAATTGGTCTTAATTTATAGGCTGAGAAAAAAATCTTTGAAATTTGAACAAGGTGTTTGATTTCTTCAGCTGGGTTGCTTAAAGATTTGATGAAAGATGAGTCAGGGACAAAAAATTATCACCCAAAAAACCTAGCATTTGTGATGGCCATGAAAGTCTGTTTTCTGCCATTAATATATATACTCTACCCAAAAAAAAAAAAAAAAAAATCAAAGATTAAAAAATAAACAAATGAAAAGAAAAACCTTTTAGAGTTTTAGTGGGCTTTTTTTTGTAGAAAAATAAATATTTTCAGACAAAAAAAACCCAGAAAAAAAAAAAGGAAAGGTGGAAAGAAGAAACAAAACCCAGAAGAGATTTTTCCTGCAATGTGAAATACGAAAAGGGAAAATGGGGAAAGAAAGTGGCACCTGAGATAGGGGTTGAATCAAGAGGACAAGAATATCCTAATTTAGGATTAAAAAGTAATTAGTGAAATTGGATGATTAAGAAGTGGTTTAGCAGGAAAGTCCGAATATTAGGGGGTAATTTAAGCTTAACAGAAAACATGGATGGTATGAAGTGGGAAACAAAATAGTGAAGTAGGAGGGAGGGGTCCAATTTGTAAAATAAGTTAGTTGTGGGTGTGTTTTGCTATTAAATTTCTTTCTATAAATATCTGAATGTTTTTGGAGCCAGTCGACACTGAAAAAAGACGGAAAGGGATCATCTCCATATTATTTCCTCTTACTTCACCAAATCAGTGGATCCGTACGATTAAAATTTAATCTAATAATTGAAGTTATTATAAATTTTAAAGTGAACTCCTGTTTATGACCGTTAAATCAAATTTCAATAATATAAATTCACTAATTTAGTAGATTAGAAGGAAGAAATCCAGAGAGGATCCCCTTCCAAAAAAGACAGACGTTCACAATTTCACACACACAGTGTATGCAGAGTTTTCTCTTTCCTTTTATTTTTTTGGGTTTGGCTTCTTTTGTTTTGTTTGTTTTGTTTGTTACTTTATTTGTTTAGACAATTTTAGCTAAAAAATATAATTTGAAAATAAAATGAGAAACGGACAGGATTTGATTTCAATCCATTGACGTTTCTCCTTTTGTTTCTAACAATTTTTTTATGGATTTGGTACTTTGATATTAGACAGTTCACTCTAAATTCTTAAATATTTCATTTAATATTGTAGTCAACAAAATATATACTTTTTGCATATGTATAAGTCGAATTTGATAATTTTTTAACTAAAAAAAATCAAGTGTTACAAGATCAACTTACTATCTAGTTTTTTTTTTTTTTAACAAACGATATTATCTATATTAAGCGGAAGGGAAACTGGGGTTAAACCTCACAATAGGCTAACAATAATATGGTTTAAATCGATCATAAGACCTCTCATTACAAGTGAAGAGAAATATCATTAGATTGTAGTACTAAGTGGTAACTTACTATCTAGTTATCTATAAGAGACTTACAGCTTAAGTAATTAAATATTTATCAATGCACACAATATGTTATTTTTCCTTTTTCTTTTAGACAACGATAATATAATCTACAAATGGCATGTTACCGTAGTAGCGGAAAGTAGTAATATTTCTACACCTTGGTGCGGGGTCGATTACCACCAATCCTCTTTCTCCCTACCATTTAAAAATTTAACCCCCATAAGTCAAAAAAATAATTATAATACATGGCTCGTTTATGAGTGCTTTTAAATGACTAAAACCAATTTTAGAGAAAATATTTTTGAAACCTATAGTAAAAATTAAAGTTAATCTTGTAAAGTATTTTTGAAACTCAAAATCATTTTCTCTAAAAACAGTTTCTGTCATTTAAAAGTACTTCTTAACCAAATTCATAATCTATTTTAAATTCAATTAAATTACGAAACAAAAAAAAAAATTAATTCAAATACAGAAAGGAGAGCACATTGCTTCACCTCATTTAACTAAATCCAAGTCGGTACTATGTTAATTTGACTAAAAAGATTTAACTGTAATTAATCCAGATTAGACAGAAAGGTGAAGCGCGTTTTAGTTTGACAATCGAGTGAATTGACAACGGATGAGGAGGAGGGCATTTCTGCACACTGCTTAGGGCCCGTGATATAATTACCAGAAGTGCTAGTGAGCTGGACGTCTCGTGGGGCCCCGTTCTGTGGGACCACAACCTCTAAGCGCGCCAAAAAGGGCGGGTTGAATCACGTGCGAGTGTCTTACATTCTTGATCCTGATCATCAGACCGTGCACGAAGATGGACAACGCCGCTTAGGCTCTGACAGTTGTACGTTGTGATCGTGGTACGAAGGCTACACACGTCTGCTGATCCGGGTGCATGGTAAATGAGGTGGGACTCACAAGCAGCGGATTGCCGCTGTCCGGAGCCCGACTAGTCATTCGTGGGAGGACATGTGGACGTGTTTGGTTCGGGTGCTGGGCCGGCCTCCGTTGTTACGAATACAAGAAGCGGGGCCGGTTTTTGTTTGCGGGTCCCACTTGCAGTAGGAAGTCAGAGACTCAGAGCTCTCTGCAAAAATACAGTTGCTTTCGTTGCTTCCGATAAACGGACAAGGAAACAAAAACAAAGGGAACCGGATCCCTAAAAACTGAGCAGCCTGAGCAAAGATCTTGAACCGTTGAAATTTGATCCAACAGTTACAAACAGAAAATTTTTATAAGATTATAATAATTGTAACCATTTGATCAAATTTCAACGTTCCTGATTTATTGCTCAGAGTGTTCAGTTTTTTGGAGATCGAAGAGGATCTGGTTCCAAAACAAAGCACGATAAAACTTTAACACATGAACACAGATCCTTTCTGGATCTGTGACCCGAAGATCGATGAATTCGAATTATTAAAATTTGATTCAACGGTTATAATTATTATAATTTTTAGAGAGATCTTTTATTTTTCTATTTGTAGCCGTTGAATCAAATTTCAATACTTGATAGATCAATTTATTTAGACTAAATTTGTAAATTATATAATGCATCATTAATTAAAAACAAGCACGTTAATTAATATTTAAATAATAATTCAATTATCAACAATCACGTCATATAGTTTACAAAATTTAACTTAAATAATTAGTCTCTCTAACATTACATGTTACATGAATATGGGTTCCTTTGTGCTCAACAAAAATCATCATCTTCGATCATGCATTAGACGTGCTATCACCTACTTCTTTCCTTTACTACAAAGACAAGATCATAGATTTTATCATGTAGGACGCAACTTGTATGGCCTATAAGCAAAGTCACCATCTCAATTGCAACAAAACGTAGTTGTAATAGTACTCAATACAACTACTACTCAATCACATATTGATAGGTTTCAATGATGTAGGACATAAGAAGAAAACCTTTCTTGTACTCGTTGCCTGAAATAAGTATCTGTAGATCTCACATCTATGATCATATGTTACAATAGTATTAACTAAGTTAAAAAATTGTGAATGTAAACTCACCATCCCATATTATTGTTGTAGTTCTAAATTACTGCTAAAGAAATTAACATCTAACAGTAGTATTAATTAAGAACCCTAATAATTAGTAAATTGCAGTTTTGACCTTTGGGGTAGAAATTGCTTTTAACAAATTTATGCAAAAGATGGCTCGAGCCACTTTTGTGAGAGAAATGAGAGGATTTATGCAAAAATTGCATTAAACCAGGTTTATGCCATTAAATACCTTTTCTGCGACCTCGTCGCCAAATAAAAATAGTGTTCATCCGAACAGCCTGAAGAGTCCAACACATCCACTTTTGTAATATGGCAGCAACAAATAATCTTTTTACCCTGAATTGTGAAACATTTGCATCTAACAGAAAGATTTTCAAAGCAAAGACTTTTTGACAGTTCTTGCATTGGTCTTTGCAGCTTGCTTTCCCTGTAGACAAAGATTGCATGCAAACTCTACCATATACATGTTGTTACAGTTCTAAACTTGTCCCGCGCCTCTTCCCTTTTTGACTATTTTGTTAATTATGTCTTACATATATATGCCATGATTTGGACATACAATCTACCACCTTTCCTGTAAAGAAAAAGTGTTAATTGTTAAACAAACACCAATAATTATTAAATCTGTATAGATAGTTGTGAAAATTTTGCATAGAAGGTGAAAGATTTTCAAACCAGTATATTGTTATCAGTGTTACGAAAGTATAAGTTTTTAAATTTGAGTTCTTCTCTAGTTAGATATTCTTTTTTCAATCTCAGTCATTTATTTTTTATATTACCAAGTATTGTTGAAGAAAATAAAAAACAAAGATGCCAAATTGTCCCACTCTATTTTTACAGTTCCAAACCTGTTTGGACCCGAATTTACACTATCGGCCCGTGCAATCAAGATAGTTGAGTGAGCATAGTTTTACACCGTTAGATAAAAAGTGGAGATAATTCATTTTATTATTATTAGAGGATAATGTTATGATGTTTTATCATAATTATCTTTTAATAATAATTTATTATGAAAGATGAGATATATATTTCCAACTGGAAACATGGCAACACAAGTCAAGCTGACTTGGGTGTTCTGGCGTGCAAATGTGTGGTGCAAACTGATTATTGTTTATTTAAAGTATGGTCGGGATCATGTTGCATGAATGGGTAAAGATTATGAAGAAGCCTAAGTAGGATTGGATTGGATTGGATTTTGGTGGAGATGTGATAAGCCTAGGTTGAGATGATGACACAACAAACCTAGGTAGATAGGCTTTTTGTGTGATTGAAGTGAAGGTTTCTGCTGGAAGTTTTTTAATAAGATCAGAAGCCTAGGTGGATTAGGTTTATGATGTGGTGTGATAAAGCCAGGATTGGCTTTATTTGGAGGTCGAAGAAATTTAAAGGCCACAGATCAAATTTTATTCAGCGAGTTAGAGTTGCAGTCAAACTCTATCTAGCCGTGCCAAGCAAATACATTAGCCACTATAAATATAGAGTTGCAAACAACTGGAAGGGGACATCTAATTCAACACACAAATTGCCCTGCGCAAACCTTCGCTTTACGTGAAACCTCTCAAACATCTTGAGATTTTTTTTTTCCTTTTTGCCAACACATCTTCATTTTGGATAAACAGCACTGTGAAGGCAACCGGTGAACATCTTCAGTTTGGATAAACAACACTGTTGCCGTAGAATCAGCCGACCGTGAAGCACCTTCAGTTTGGATAAACAGCACTACGACAAGGCCGACTGGTTATCTATCCAAGTCTCGGTCGAGAAGGATTTTCGAATCCTTATTGG